ATCTTGTGACTTTAACCTAACTGTCTAGCAATTAAGGATTTTTTTCTTCATTTAAAATGCCAGTGCGTTTTTTTTATACGCCGCTAACATCGTGCTGTTCTTAGAGATTCTTGAAATTAAGATTCTCAAACTATACTTGTACTGAAAATTATTCCGCCTTAAAATACTGCGAGAATTTATCGATCGAATTTACTTGATTGAAACATGAACTTAACATGAAATTTGCTATAGAATTTAGGAATACATATATTAATTCCATAAATCCTCCATTCACAATATAACATAATATTTTCTAAGAAAATCATTGGCTTAACAATACATGAATTGTATTATTTAAGGTCTGAAATTTTCTTAGTCATTACAATCTACCCCCCTTAAGAAATTTTCGTCCCGAAAATTAGAACAACTCGGGGTAGCTTTTCCTCGTATTCTCTTCGCGTTCTCAAGTAGCTTCCTCAATATTATGATTTCACTACAAGTATTAAGTTCTTTAACCATGCCAAATTTGCAATGATCACAAAATGGCAAAAACTGATACGGTGCACTTTTTTCACAAACAGAAGTATCAACTTTTTTTGTTAAAGACGGTACGCAACTTGTGTTATGACCACTTGGCAAGTAGTGAAACTTTAAGTAGGAGATTGCGACACATTTTAGGCTTTTTGTGATTATCTTCACACAATACATATCTCCACAGAATTGACACCAAGTATTCTAATATAAAGCAAAAAGAATCACAATTTCAGAATGTAAGCCATTACAACTTTATGAAGAAAGCTTTCATTTTCCTGACGAGATTATACTTCAATCTGGATTTCGGGCTGTTTTTGGTTTGTTTGAAAAATCTGAAACCTATAATGTAGTAACTCTAAAAAGAGGGTTTTGAGTCTACTTTTATTTGCCATTAGTCTCATAATATTTTGAGTTTTGATGAATTTGTTATGAATATTTTTGTAACAATGTGCAGTTATGTGTTTTAGTAAATGATGATATGAATGTGATTTTTGAAAGTTATGATTTTTAAAGGTTAATTAGCACATTGAAGGCTCTCCATAACCAGCTAGTTTGTGCTTGCAAAGTGGTGATCGAAATTCAAGTAAGTAGAGTTAAAGGCATTTCAAAACTGCATCACAAGACCCTATATGATTATGTTCAAGGAGTATTCATGATTAATTATTTTGAAAGAGATTATGATATTTGCTTATTATGTTTTTATGCTTTAAGAGATTTTATGGTATGGTATATGGATGAGAGGCTGGGTAAGCAGGGGTGCGAGAGACCGGTACCCCAAATTAGAGAAACTGTATCTTTGAGACAACTAGAGAAAAATGCTAGTGGGAAGTCTCTTGTTGATCACAAGAGAAAGAGATTCTAAAAACCCCGCTTAGTGTTAAAGAGAAGAGAATTGGCCATAATTAGAGAAGGTCTTGTATAGAGAGGCTTACTTGGAACCAAAGTTCTGTATCATACCTAAACTAAGAATAAGTATGAAAGCTTATGAACAATCTTTAACAAAGAGATTTTAACCACGGAGATTTTTTATATTTACTATATTTGAAATCTACTTATTGAGTTTTTGCTCATTAATTTTTCCTTATAATGCAGATGATGTTGTTGTTATCGAAGAGTAAAAAAAAAAAAATGATTTCCAAGGTTGGCTGAGTACTCCAAGTCCTGCATTTGGCATCTTGCGTATATGTACTTCCAAACAATAGATGGGCTCAAAATGTTTTTTCTTTTTTGTTATCGATTTTGAATAACTGTTTAATGTCTAAGATTTGTAGTTATAATCATATTACGCACTAACTCATTTTGTTAAAAAACTTTTAAGAAAATTTTGTGATGAAATCAACCACAAGTTTCTACATCTTATAAATGACATTGTTTTAAGTATAGAAAGTATGTTTTAAGTTACACCACCTCACTAAATTCGGCCTTAGACCGGTTTAGCGATGGGGGCGTTATAGTTTTTACGAAGCAAATGCTTACTATTAAAATAATAAAAATAATAATCATTGATTCTTTTTTAAGTGCTTATTTGACTAGTAGACACTACAACAATAAAGGCCGTCCCTTCACCGGATAATTTTTGAAATCGGAAGCTAATTAGTGCGTAGGCAGCGCTGCGCCGTCTCTTGTACCCTTTTATAAAGAGAATTTGAGTTAAGACTAATCAAAAAAGGAAGTAACCAATCAACCAGACCAATCTTTCTGTGGAGGCGGCGAAGGACAGGTAAGGCTTTGAAGCCAAGCAAGCAGCTATTGGAAAGAAAAGAAGTTGAAGCTATAACAGCTGTAGAAAGAAAGAGAAAAACAGGTGCCATCCTCTGAAATGGCAGCTAGGCTCGTTAGGAAAAAAAGACTTCTGGCGTTGGGTAGTGACACCGATCAAGCCCTTCACTCGGCTTCCTCTTTTCCTTACTCTTCTTAGTAGAATTCACATTTTTTGTGACGAAATTTGTCGTCGCAAAAAATACAACATGTCGTTGCAATTACTTTCCGTTAAATAAAATAACTATGTCGTCACTAATAACTTAAATGTCGTTGTAAATAATTTTGGAGCACAAAATATTTCAATGGCGCGGATTTTAATACCATTTGAGTTGGGGCTCGGTGTGGGATGGAGTCATTTGTGAGTGCCAACAAGTCGTTCTTCTCAACAGTACGGTTAAAAAAGAATACATTTCCTCCACTGTCTTGGAGTTTCAAACAAATTTCTTCAATAATCACAATCAAACGAGAAGTAGTTGTCGAGATATAATAGATTTTCACAGAAACTCAAGGTCATGGCTCAAAATAATAGAAAAGAAAGAGAGATCCAAAACTCGAAGTCTTGGTCAAGACGATTCGCACTTTTGCGGATGTGCTTAAGCACGCATACAGTTGAAGATGGATTCTATGAAAGAGATAAATCTTAGCGACCTAAAGACATAAGAAAATAAAAAATTAAGAAAACGAGGCACACAGCGCATTATTTTGTTTGCCAAGTTTTAGTTTTTAAGTTGTTTTATGACTTTGGTTTAGAAGAAGTTTTTAATTTGTTTATAACCTTTTCGCGAATAAAAACAACAAAAAAATTCTTGATATGAAATAAATAAATTAGTGCTGAAAAGTATTGGTCGTGTAAGGGAACCAAAGGTCCCGGGAGTCATAGGGAGAAAGGCATGGGCTATCTCCCCCCCAAAAAAAAAAAGAAAAAAAAAAGTACTTGGTCATGTCCTATTATATAAAACATGAAGTTGGTCTCCTTCTACAAATCCACTAGAACATTAAGGACTCAAGTCACTCTTATATGGAGACCCGCATGTAAAAGTTATGAAAAATTAGTATCTTTGAAGCAAGCAAATCAGTGTACCAACAGGTTGTGATAAATGTGAAATTGAGCGTGCGGATGCTATAGGCTGATCTTTTACGGATTCCTTGCATAATTCACATTCATGAGATGCTAGGCCGAACACGTACATCTCTCCGGCGGAGTATATTCCGCACTTTGTTCCGTCCTAGATTAAATTGTCAAAGTATCAATGTTGGTGAGATAGAAACTTTTGAAATAAAATCAGCAAATTTGTAATAGTATTTTGTATAGGAAAACAGAAAGTGGGAAAATATACGGCATATATTTCAACACTGAAAAGCAGAATATATATAGTTTACAGAACTTTTAACCGACTCTAAATATATTCTAACTAACAGAATCCTAAGAATAGAAAAGGGAGATTATAAAAGATTACAAACGGTTAGAAAGGATAATCTGGTTCCTAATAATTTAAATTTAAAGTTCAAACTAAATATCTCTAATATTTTGTACCTTTCAATTTTTTGGATTGACTGAATACCAAGTTTGAACAAATGTTAATGCAAGGACCACCATAGCAGCAAACAGAGCCAGAATAGTCCATGGGCTTCTAAAATGAGTATTGTAGACCTGAGCAATCCAGAGCGCACACCTTCTTCGGCTCCTACTCCTGCAATGCTTTTCTATTTTTTTCTTGACATGTGCATAAGTGTCTTTGTCTGGCGGTAAAAATTCAGAGCCCATGCCGTTGATCAAATTAGCGACTTCAGCATCGCTAATGTGCAATTTCGGAAGAATGTCCGCTGCTTTTAAGTCCTTGACGTCATGTTCATCGTCAACAAGCAAATCTAGCAAGTTTATGTAAGACATAAACCATGGTTTTTGATTTGGATGAAATTCGGACAAGCACATCTCATAGGCGGCCAAGTTGAACAACATTTTCACCGTCAAATTGTCTACAACCAATCTGGGAAGCTTAAGTTGAGCTGTGGTAAAGAATGAAGAACGGAAAGATATAGTTGTTAAAGAATCACTTGGCTTGAACTCTATCCCTGCTTTTTTAAGTTCCTGAACATTAGGAAAGGAGTACTGTGTAATCATGCTCCAATATTGAGGGAGACTCTCTGATTTATTGAACCGCTTCAAGATCCGACTAATAAATGCCACTGCTCGACAAGCACAATGACATAAAAGCGAGCAAAGACGACGAATGAGATTAGTTGGAATGCACTCATTCTGATGAAAAACGTTAGGGTTATCAAGTAATAGTACTTCTCGTAGAAGGTCAAGAATGTGTAATGGATGTTTGTGAACCGAATCCAAAACTAGGAATTTTGTAAATTCCCCTAGATTATTACCCATAAGAGCAATAAATCTGCAAAAATCGGGTACCAAATCTACATTTCCCAATTCTGTTTCGAAGCCCATCAACTTCTCAAGGACTATAAAGGGTATTTGGTTCTCTAGCAAGAACAGATCCTGCTGGATCAATGCTGCTTGATCATTACTAATTTCAAACATGTTTAACTTTTGATTCACATAGGCGTCTATGAACCCTAGCATTGCACACCCATCCAAGAACACCAATATTATCAATTCTAGATCAGTATACGACACAATTACCTCCTCATGGAAGTACTTCTTTATTTCATCGGTCTTTTCCTTGATTTCTCGGAGTAAATTATCCTTTGTTCTACCGCTTCTTTTAATGAAATGTGCAGCCAACTTAATCTTGAGTTCTTCATTGAACAAATTCGGATCAGTGGCATAAATAGGACCTATTGACAACTCCCTTGGCTTAAAGTACACTCCTAATTGTCGCATGATCTCCGGAACCCTTTGTATTACTGTTCTCATTTTTTCCCTATTTTTTTGAAGGACTTTTAGTAGCTCTTTTAAATCTGGCAACATATTGCTAAAATGTTCTTCTATCTCCAGCTCCCATAGCACACGTTCCTCATATTCAAGGCCTGTGCTTGCCTGATTCTCCCAACTTCTTCAACCCAAAAAAAAAAAAAAAAGAAAAGAAATTGTAATGCATCCCTTGCAGCAGGCTTAAGCGAAGAATGATTCAACCCAATATATTTATATATATATATATATCTATATTTATATATATATCCTTAATGAATGAGTAATGACAGTCATATTTCCTTAATGAATGAGTAATATACCCTTGTCTAAGTGACTAGCTTTGAAGAGTCACATATTTCATATATATTCTTCATTGATATATATGTTAATGTTGACTCGTTTTATGAAATTTTAGAAGTGTTTTCTGGTATTATGTGAATTCTTGTATTTATTATGAACTAAATGAGATAGTGATAATGGCCAAATCATTGGGGAACAATAGATTTTAAGATAGAGGCCACATAAAATAGGTTCGGATTACACAAGATTAATGCTATATAAGAGGGCTTAAAATGTTAAAGAAAAGTATTTTGGAAGTGTAAATTATTCTGGATACTAACACAGCTTGCACTCACATATTATTTGCACTCAGCATCAAATTCCTAATCAGAGCACCACAATTAGTCAAGAAGGAAACTTTAACAAAAATCTAATTTCGGGGCAAAATTTACAATTTTGGCAAAGTATGGAACCTAACACACACACACACACACACATATATACATATATATATATATATATTTTGAAAACACGGGGTCCAAAACATAAAAATGTTAGGGGTCAAAATCTAATTTCAAGGTAAAATTTACAATTTTGGCAAAGTATGGAACCTAAGACAATTCTTTTCTCAAACATAGAGTCCAAAACATGATTTTAAAAATATTAGGGGTCAAAAATAGAGGAGATGATGAGTTTCTAAAAGTTTTAATTAAATGTTAGAGTGCACCACTCAACAAACTCAATCAAATTTTAGCTTAACAGAAAAAAAAAAACAAAAAACAAAAAGAAAAATAAAAAGAAAGGAAAGAGGGAATCAATTAAAAGACACCTATTTGATTTTTAGAGTCTAAAATCAATGAGTTATTTAGTTGGGAGATTCGTATTCTGATTCGAATTATAGTTCGTGGTTCACTACAGTATTTTCTCTTACAGAAAACACACGTAAATAAAAAATGGTTCTAATTTCATGATTCTAATCTATGAACCAAACGTCCTCCAAAACTCTTTCATCTCTCTTACTGTCTCCTGAACTATTCCCGCATCTCCCTCAACCCCTTACAAGAAAACCACCTTCCACACCTCCAAACTTGAAATTTCTTCATCCTTTCTCTTCCTAATCCATAGAGGAAGCAAACTCTTGCTTTTCTCCTTGGTATAAACATGTTTGGTAGCCCGAAAACCCTTCCAAAATTGCTGTCAAATTGGAATCCGAGAAGAAGGATTAAGCTCCTTCAACATAGAGTTGGGTTTTAGTAAGGTAGCTCTCTCAATCACTTTCTCGATACATTTTCTTCTATTAGCAGCAACTAACACGAATTTTCTTGTGTTCTGTCTTCAATATTATTTCTCAAATGCATCCATCCGTGACCAGTCATATCCTCACCCTTAAAGCTACAAGTTTGAGATTCTTGAAAACTGAACTATCTATTAATCTTCAAAGGTAAGACTATTAACTTTTAGAGCTTTAGTGATGAGGTTAAATAAGTTAGTCTTATGACTTTGGATTGAGTTTTAGTTGATTTGAACTTAATGAACTTGAAATAGAATGTTGATTCAAGTGTTTGCATGTGAGTTTTAAACATAAAAGTTTGCATCTTATATGTTTGTTGAAATGAACATGAATGAGTTTCTGAACTAATTTTACATTTTAAATTTTTCGGAATCGTTTCTATACTATTTTGCCTCAAATATTATTTTATCTTTAAAATAGACATCCTAAGCTTCAAGTGATTTACGGAAAAATGATTTTTTTAGAATTATTTATGATTTTCACAAGTTCATGCAAAAATCTGTCAAATTCCTGACAGAAATTTTGGTCTGGATTTCAGGCTAATTTTCATGAGACTAATGAATCTAAAACCTAGCTTAAGGTAGCTCTAAATAAAGCCCCATGAGTCTACTTTGATTTGACAGTAGTTTTGTAATTGTTTGGATTTTCCTACAATTTATCATAATTTTTCTCGTAACAGAGGTCGAATCAGCCCATTTGACAGAGTTTGTGTTAAGAGACTAACTTTTGTAACTTTGATAAATTAAAACTTGGACTATGTTTTGAGATTTCGTGGCTTGATTTTGCTAAGATGTTCGCGCATGAAGATCTTAAGAAAAGTTTATTATCAGATAGATTTATAACAGGGGATGACTAAAAGGGATATGTACATTATGATTTTGAATGTGAATATTAACTTTTGGTTTTACTATGTTAGTTTGATTTTGATATATGGCCAGCCTAAACATAATATGTTTGTGATGGGATTAAAGCCAGTAATTTCCTAATTGAACGTTACGTTAACCTATCAATTTCTTAAACTTCTTGTTATAAGTTGAGCTTAGTGATTGTTTACTAAAAAGCCCCCTGAAGAAGTTGAACCTCTTTGAAAATTCTAATCTAGAAGGGTGAAATTCCAATAGTTGACGTTCACCATTTATCTGAACTCGTGAGAACGAAATTATTTCTTAGGGCGTAATCGGTCCATAGACCCGACACACATGATTTTAGACAAGTGTGTGCCTCGAAAGAAAAGACTCAAAATTAACTAAAGTGAATGTGATAACAAGATCTTGCACATCGCCTACAACCCAAGCACAAAGTATATCTATAATGATGTGTATAAATATACTATGAAAATTCTTGATGATATTATGTACTTGTTTGTGCCTATCTATGCGATTCAATTATGTCACTTGACTTTCAAGTTCCTTTGACATGCTTTCCTATCGTTATTTTAATACAAGGCTTAAAAAAAAGTGATGTTTTTAAGTATCATACCGAGACCAAGGTCTCTCCATGTTCATGTTTTGTACCGAGACCGAGGTCTCTTTATGTTCATGTTATATTATGATGCCACTGGCTAACTTGGTTAGGGTTGCTCTCCCAATCCCCCGGTTAGTTGCGTGCACTGTACATATGCAAGGCCCAAATTCATGGTTTCGAGACAAGATTTACATGTTTTATAAAACATCTATGTATGAAACTACGTATATTATTTTGTGTGAGTTATTTTTTAAAACATTTGATGTGACATTTTCTATTATGTGGGTTTTTTAATTTTTTTATTTTAAGTAAACGTTTCTTCTAAGATGACGGAGTTTTTAGCTGCTAGCTTGGAAGGATTGTTACAATACTCTTGTATGATTTCTTTTTGTTTATATTTCCTTTCCAAAAAAAAAAAAGGTTATTGTGTTAATAGAGTGTTACTAAGTTGTTTTGCATAAAATAACTGTTTTGTAGTACGTAAAGTTGCTAGGTTCAATAATATTAGACTTAAGGAAAAAAATATGTGACAATATAATTTCTATGTCGTTGTTCCAAAGAAGACAATTTGGCTTATGTTACTCCAAATTTAATACCTATTGCAGTAGTTTTCATCAAAAAAATTTATATATATCGCAGTATTTGATAATAAGCATTACCAATATGCCAATATTACCTCGAGTAACGCGTGCAGGAAGCGTAGACTTGGGGAAGTCCACGTCATCAAATAATAAAATGCAATTAAAAAGTAAATGAAATGTTTTGAGCTGGTGGAATTTTTCACCTTTTTTCTTCATCCTTTTGTTCAATCACCTTCTTTAGTCTGATCTCTTTCGGTCCAGTTCGGATGATGGAGATGATTATAGGTGGAACTTCAAACTCATTACTGCATGCGTGTTAGTATACGATATTTATATTAAGATCGATCAAGTCAGGAATAACCAAAGAAAAAGAAAAGAAAAGTATTTCTGAAGAAAATCCCACCTGTAACTGCAAGTGATTTGGAGAACATCCACGGCCCTCGGTCCACTTTCAACCATATTAGGGAGAAGAAGTTCGACTAGGCCCTTGCGTACCTCTTTTCCATAGAGATCACCATAGGAAATAGTAACTGCAGAGTTTTCGGTCTTGATTGGATAGTTTCCGGCGAGCACCTTCTTGATTATCGATTCTCCGTCGACTTGTTCGATTGTTACCCGCAAGTCCTGAACCACCACGGTGAGAAGCCCAGCCAAACACTGGGAAAATGCAATGAACAAGTTGTTTTCATTTTGCAAATCTGAGAAGGTTCCTCCATTGCTGTTCATTGCGATCTCTTCTAGCACCTATATTAGTTATAATATTATATCGATGACAGACGAAACCCCCATTCGTTTTATTGGTTCCAATCATAATTTTAATTTTTATTACTGTAGTTTATCTCACAAAAATTTAAATTTAACTTTTTATGTTACAGTATTTTTTCTCACATTAATTCATATTTCAACTCGAGTTAAAAACTCAAACCAGTTAAATAAATAATACATAAATTTTGCAAATTAAATACATATACACTTACCCTTGGCTCGTGGCTTGCACCAAAGCCGAATGTGTATACTGGCACCATGCTAACATCAACCTCGGCAACTTTACCTCTATTTTCGGCACTGTCAGAAAAAAGCATGATGGCACCTACACGCCCATTCGTAAAACGGCGGTCATTGAGCACTTTTAAGGCCATTCTAAGGCCCTCAGCAATATTTTTGTCACTATTTTTTTCTTTTAAAAGTATGATCTCCTCTATAATCTCAGCTTTAGAAGCTTCAGTTATTTGGCGCAGTGGGAACAACCTGTTCGAGCTGTCAAAGAATGTGACAACTGAAAAACGATCAACGGGGCTAAGTTTCTCGATGACAAATTGTGCGGCGATTTTCAATTTGTCTAAGTTGCCTCCCTCATGCATGCTTCCACTGAGATCAATTACCATCACTAGATCAAGTCCAGGTCTTGGTCTGATAAAACCTGACTCAGTCAACTTTAGTAGCACTTTAAATCTGGTTTCTTTAAGTGGTGCCTCAATGTGGTTGATGGCTGCAATCTGTATTTTTCCCGCTAGAAAGCTTGAAGCTTTTTTCCGGGAGTTATACACATGGAAAGAAAAGATGATTCATAATTAACTTCTTAATTAATTAGAATCAAAAGTTTTGAGTGCATTTAAATTGTAATGAATAAATTAAAAAAAAAAAGCTTGTGATGTGAATGAAGAAACGAAGAAAACATAAACCTGAAATGACATCTTCGAGTATGACAATTTCCTTATCATCGTCGAAGCTCATTTTCCCGAAAAGAACTGATAACACTACTAATCAAGCTTTTTGAGGAGATATCTAAACTGTTCAATCAATAGTTGATCATTGAAAAAAAAATACAAAAATTATATATTATTATTAGGCTTAATTAATCATATACTCTTGAAACAACAAATGTTTATATTTCTTTCTCCTTGTTTCTGAATGTTCAGATCGTAAAAAGGAATTACGTACCTCATAAAGTGTTCAAATCTTGAGCTTGATTATTGATCAGTAAAGACCGTCAGAGAACCAATTAAACACGAGAAAAGAATTATCAGCCAGCAAATGAGAAAATTGACATCCTAATTAAGCTGAATCGGCACATCGGTAGAAGATTAATTCTCTACTAACACTACCAAATTTGATGAAAAAAAAGAACGAAAAGCTGCAAAAAGTTCATGATGAATATCAAAATACTACTCTTAAGGAAGAAAGACGAAATTAGACAACACAACACTGACACGAGCCATAAATAGAAAAGCAAACGCAGCAAATACAAGACATTAATTAGGGATAAAACAAACAAATGATAATCTTTCTTAATGTTCATGAAAAAAGATAACTACATAAAGTACCTTTCAATGGAAGAGTTCAAACTTCAAATCTTGAGTTTCAATGTAGATGAGAGAAACAAGGCCAAGAGCAGAAACAAATTATTATATGGAGACCAGTATTGTGTTTTTGTAATTACCATCTCTTTTCCCCAATTCAATATAGAACACAATTTGGTTGGCTTCAAACACCGCTTTTAATATAATTATGGCACCATTTACTAAATAAATGATTATTTGCAGACCCAAAGGCCATTTGTCTTTTTTTTTTTTCATTTCTTTATTCTTTACAGATCATCAGCTCAATTATTGCTTTTGCACATGGGGAGCAGCCTCCGAGACATACATACATGCATAAATTACATATAAAACAATTCGTAGAGGCCAAGTTTTCATTTTCCTTTTCCATTTCACTTTTCAAAAAGAAAACAATTAAAAATTTTATACACATGGTTACACGATTGCCAAGAGTTCGACAAAAGAGAAAGATGAATTAAAAAATTTATACACATGGTTACACGATTGCCAAGAGTTCGACAAAAGAGAAAGATGAAAACAAAGGCAGGGCAAATGGAGAAATTTGGTGGGACTGAAGACGAGTTGAGACCTGAGAGCGAGTGAGACATAATAATAGGAAATATAACCAATAACAATGCACAGACCAACTTGTTAAAGTCCACATTGTTAAAAAATAAAAATAAAAAAAATAAAAAATAAATCCTTTTTATGTAAAATATCTCTCAAAATTCAAGAAACATTCATGAATAACCAAAAATCAACAGATTAATAAGCGGAAGCGTACTTAAATTCATGATAATAAGTTACTCTCCAGAGTAGTGCCGTTTATCTTCCAAATCAACATGTTTTCTTAAAAAATCTTTTAACTTTCTCTTTGCTCTTTCCATGATGATAGAATGTCAGAAAAGAATAGACTTATACATGTAATCTAGGGACCGCAACCACTATATATATATATATATATAACTTTCCTGTTATCTTTTGGCATTTCTATTTTAATCAATTATAAAAATAAAAATTATCCTTAATCAAACGATATAGCATCATCTCTCCCAATTGGTCCTTCAATTATTATTAACATTATTGACACAATTTCTTTTTGAATTATGAGGACATTAATCCCTTAATTTTGATAAGTTACTCCTCGAATGTCTTTTTTTTTTTTTTTTTTCTAACATTAAAATTGACAAATTAACTACGCTTATCGCATAATAACGAAACTGTTTACATAAATAGTTGTAGCACGTGCAAAATGCCGTAGTTTTCATACCTTATTTAATGTGACCCAGAGAGAACTGGAAGCGCAAAATGAAGACCGTGGAACCACCGTAAATTGGTGGGAAAAGAAGCATCATTAGTCCCACAAGTACCCAATAATCGGCCAAGTCGGGGAATTAAGATAAGAATCAGATCAAGTTTGGAGAAGAAACTACCCACAAATCAATTGAGGAAACTAGCAACAAGGAAAGCCAACTAAAACTAAAACAGGAAACAACTTATTCCACAAGTCAACAGCCAATTAACGCGGAAATCAAGTAACTTTAGAGGCTAAAATCATCTCTTACAAATAAGGGATCAAGACCACAACTTTAGGGATCCAAATTTCGGCACAGATTCTGCTCAATTATTACCTCCCTATCTAAATTCTCTCTCTATATTCCCTTTTCGTCTCTCTCCCTTTAAAATTCTTCACTTGTAAACTTTTTATAATTTATGATGAAACCCCCAGATCCGATGTAGTGGACGTAGTCTTTATGTCAACAACTACACATTCGTATATTCATTTATTTTCTTGCACTTTATTTTCTTGTTCTATAATTCGATGATTTCGATAAATCTAACACGTAATCCCAATAGATGCCTGAGAGGGGACATTGATCCTCTAAACAAATGTTATTGTATAGCCAAGAAACGTCATCACATTTTTCGTGATCATCATATTTATTAAGATAATGCTTAACTTGAAAACGTATCTTGTTCCCGCATATGATCAATAGGCATTTGGCTAACGAATTGGCTTTTCTTTTATCTCCATAACAAGATATTATTATAGTTGACTAGTGACAATTACATATATTAAATTTAATCACAGGCATGGTTTCTCTTTCTACCAACCTTCAATTATTTCCAAAAAAATAAAAAAAAAAATAAAAAAACTGTGGCAAGCCCCAACTCAACTTTGAAAAGAATAACTAAAATAATATAAATAATTATGAATTGCTGATAACGCTAACAAAATATTTCTGAAAACCATTAGGCAACAAAGGACATGGAGTACTAATTCTATCCATATAAAAAAACGTGACGAACCACAAAACCTGCTGAGCACCCTTAGTACAAATTTTCTTTTGGTC